TGTTTTGAATGTCATTGGTTCTTATAGGGATGTGTAGGGGCAATAGATGACATACATGTTTGGCCCAAAGTACCTTTCCTACACCAAGGTAGATATAAGAACAAGAAATGGTGGACAACAACTAATGTGCTGGGCGTTTGTGGGCAAGACATGAAATTTATCTATGTATTGTCCAGGTAGGAGGGGTCTGTCACTGATTCTAGGGTATTGCGAGATGCAATCACAAGATGGAATGAGTTGAAGGTAAAACTTGGTGAGACAAAAAATATTTTTTTACACATTTGGTTACTTGGTAAGTTTCTTGAAGCTTTTAGATTTATTCAATTATGTGCCCGTGTAGGTACATATTACCTTGTGAATCTTAGGTACACAAATGGAAAAGGTTTTTTGGATCCATTTCATGGCCAACAATACCATTTGCAAGAGTTTGTCGACGATGTTGTAGCTCCCAGAAACGTGCACGAGTATTTCAATTTGAGGCACGCAACGACAAGGAATGTCATAGAAATGTGTTTTGGGTTACTTAAAATGTGATGGTCTATCCTTAGGACAACGTGTTTTTACCCGGTACCAACGCACAACAAAATCATTACTGTTTGTTGCTTACTACACAATCTTATTAAGAACGAGATGGAATATGATATGTTGGAGGAAGTGTTGGATGACCATCCATTAGAAGATGAGAATGTAAATGATAATGACATAATCGATAGCGTTGAATCTTCTCATAGTTGGACTGCGTGACGTGAGCAATTAGCGGCTGACATGTACAATGAATGGAGGTGTAACAGGGTAGCTTGATGTTAGTTGGTAAAGATTGTTACATGTTGTTACTGAATTCCTTTCGCATACTGTTTTTGTTTTGTTAAGTTCTATTCCATGCAAGTAATGGTATTAGTGGATGATTTACGTGTATGTCAATTGGTTCAAAGCTTTTTGAATTAAATATTTTTTGTCAAAGTTAACTAAACATTAGTTCTACATGTGGATTCAACGTTATTTGTAGTGGTGACATGGCAAGTGTTGAGAGTTCATAGTTTATGGGAAGTTGTCGATTTGATAAGGGACCAAGACGAATGTGGACAACCGTCAAAGAATCTTTCCTTTTAAATGCGCTTAAAGACATTTGCAATCAGGGTTGAAAATCCCAAAATGGGGCGTTCAGATTAGGATATTTGCACCACTTGGAGAAGGCTTTATCAGATACACTTGGCGGAACTGACTTGCGTGCCACTTCACACATTGAGTCGAAGATTAAAAACTAGAAGAAAACCTACAACACACTCTTCACCATGCTTAGCCCGTCAGGTTTCCCTTGGAACAACGCAAAACAAAGGATTGACGTTGAAGGGGACAACGTTTGGGCTGAGTACGTCGAGGTACTTATTTCCCACCCGTTACTATCCGCCTTAAGTCATTCACTAACGACATCTTGTTTTTCAGAAAGACCGCAATGCAAAAAGAATGTATGAGAAAAGCTGGCCTTACTACAATGACTAGAGCATAATTTTTGGCAAAGACCGTGCAACCGGTGAGTATGCTAAAGATTTAGAAGAGATGGTTGGGGTTGACGATGCGGGAGTTCATGTGCATGATACGAAGGATGCTGCCAACACTGATGTAAACATGGCATACATTGGAATCTCTAAAAGCACACCTCAACACGGTGTGGTTGGACAAGACGACACACCCACAAGATGTAAACGACGGAGGAAGAAGCCTGGTGAACCATCTGATGGAATTGCACGCAACATAAGTAAAATGACCGACATACTTTGTGACTATGTGTCTAGCTGTGGAAAACAACTCTCAGACATTGCTCAGAGGGTTGGTTATGAGCAAGATGCTACAGAGACGAGACGTCAACTGAACACAGAGTTGACAAAAATCGATAACCTAACGATGGATCACTGACATAGAACGACTTACAAGATTGCTAATGACCTGATAAAGATGGACCTCTTCATGAGCTTGCCAAACATTGAGAGACTAGCATGGCTTCTTGGCATGCTATGGGATAATGAATCTGTGATGGACAATTAGTACTTATCCTTACTCACTGTTTTGAAATCTTCTCAGTAATGTTAAGTCATCTCCTCTTCGTTGTTGTTCCTATGTTATGTGTGAAAGTGGTATTTAGACGATGTTGAAGAATCTGTCGAATTATTTTCTCATCATAATGTACTTCTTTATGCTTATTGTGTTTTGGATATTTAATTTATGTGTTTTAAAAATGTATCAAATTCCTTGTGTCATTCACATATCACAATAGTCATGACTGCAATAACAAGAATGAAAATGGGTTTGAAGAATAAATGATATGTTGTGTTCAATTGTCAAAGGGTAGAAATTGTTGATACTTGGCAAGAATGCCACAGACTTGTCACTGGATATCCCGGTGCATGAATCGTTTTCATCATACGAAGTTGCATAAGAGGCTTTAGCAGTACACATTTCCGTTGTAGCGATGGACCAAAATAAGAATCCAATGCATAGACACGAAGACAACACTGTGAAAGAACCATGACTCACTGGATCATGTGAACGCATTCTCATGCTACACGAAATGTTTGGAAGAAAAAACTCAAGAAATTGAACCAGTCCCGAAAAATGGAATTATGCTCCTTGTAATAGCGTTCATATTGAGTTTTATAATATGCAATATTTTGACCTCATTTGTGGGGAAATTTATTTGACCAAACGATCATGTTTCCTGAAATTTTTCTCATCAAATTATGCTATGTTTGTAATTTATGTATTCATTTTTATGGATTGGTGTCACTATACGTTAATGTCCAAATTTGTGTTACGTTATTAACTTATTTCTTGCACATTCATTTTGTAATGGATATTATTAGTTAAAAGAAATGCGACGATTGAGGCTAACAAAAGACGAGGAAGATGTTCTATTGGATTGTCTTATGGACCTTAAGTTTGAGAGGCACCTTGCCAACACAGGTGAATTCCTCGAAGGAGCCTGGAGTTGTTTGTGTGAGATGATAAGTGAACGTCGGCAAGAACCGCGATTAACTTTTAGCCTAGTTATAAAAGTAGTTATTTTTTGGAAGAGACGTTATTTCAAGATGAAAGATATAGAGGCTTCAGAGTTTTTCTGTTGGAACAATGAATAATGAACAATGAGTTCTTTTCCTATTCAATCCGGCTGGAGTGTCTTTCTTAGAGGTTTATTTTTGTTAGGTTTTTACATATGTATATTAGTATACGAATCATTATATACATGTGTGCATAAATCTAATTTGTCATTTGTTGTAGGATGACACCTTCGCATCTCGAACGTGTGTGCGAACTTGTCCCAATTATGAGATCTTCACGGAAATATTCGGCCCACATGGTGAAGGCGGAAACATATCAACAGTTTTCAGTGTTGGTTCCACTTCAGTCACGTCTCCATATAGTTCTACTGTGGACTTGGTTATCATTGATGATTAATGTTATCAATAAATGTGAGTTGTTTGTAAACAATATAATGATATTTAATATGGTGTAATGGAAATATGTCCGTCCGATTTGATTTATTTGGGAATAGATAAGTTTTGTGTGTATCCCCGTATATGTAAATGTTAGAATGTTGCACTGTCTTGTTGGATTAATGTTTTATTGCGTTTTATTATGGTTATGAATTAATAGTTACATTTTATCAACATTCGTATTTTTATTCTATAAGTTAGGAAGGAAAAAATAATCAAATATGAAAACTATAATGACCCAAGAAAATGTACGTATACAAATATAGGTTTAGATTGGATTGATGAAGGGGCAAAATATTTATTTATATATAAATATATTATTATAATAGTGATATATTTGTGTGCATACCAAAAATGAGTATGGATGGAATTGAATGTTGAATCTCATGTTTCTAAAGTTGTGTTTAGGTTTGGAAGAGTTTAGGGAACCCAATTCTAACTCATCCCAGAAAATCATCCAAACAGCCCCTTAGGGGTTTCAATTTTTAGTGGGTTGGGCTTAAGATTTTGGATTTTTAATAATATATTATGTAATTTATAATGTATAATTTATATAAAATTATTAATTAATAAAATTCAGTAGGAGTCGAAATTTTTTCAGAATGGACTGCAAACTCTGACTCTGATCAAAGTGTGCAATTTTCCTCCGACTCCGACGGAGGTGGAGTCGGAGCTGGAGTGGAATTTTCGGATTCTTGCATACCCCTACACAGAAATATAGCATTGAAGCCCGGGTGGGTCAGGCTTGAAGTCCTAAAGATCGGGCCAGGCTCAAAATTTGGTGACCCAAATAATTAGTCAGGGTTTGATCTTTGGGCTTCTATGGCATGCCGAAAAAGCTTAAGCAGATTACCAGACCACATATGTTTTACAATGAAGGTGTGAGCTGCCCAGTCTCTGAGCAGCCTGCAAAAGAGCTGGAAACAAAATCCTCCCTTCATTTGGGTTAAGGACAGTTTAAGATAAGGCAGAGGGATATTCACATTGTCCAGTTTATAATTTCCACCCCGCCCCCCCCCCCAAAAAAAAAAAATAATAAAAAAGGAAGTTTCTTCTTGTTGTAACTGATCTATCTTTGGCCTAATGGTAAAAATATGGCTACCAAGTGACATACATCAAGATTCAATTCCCATCATTTACTACTAAAATAGAAAAATCATTAAACTAATTAATGAACATGCCCATGTCCTTCTAGCCTGGTGGTTGAACCATTCACTTGATAACCCACCACGCTATGGGTTCAAAAATGGGGTCTATGCACACCCATCTCCAAACAGAAAGAACATGCTAGGATTGCCCCCAGCAATCAATCCCATGGCGTGCAAGTGTGTTGAAATAGGCAGGTGCAACCTGTTGCTGCTTAAGAAAGGCTCAACTACTACCTATGTCTTGACATAGAGGTATTGGGGACTTGGGGTCACTATATATAATGTCAGTCTTGAAAAGCCATGGCCCACTGCCGAGAAAGGAAAAAAAAATAAAAAAATGAAGTTAAAATAGACAAATCCGTAGTCCAAAACAAAGTCTTTTACAAATTTAGCACAAACAATTGTATTTAATACTAACAGCATCAAATTAAAAATAAAACTTGTTACATCACAAGAAGAAACATGTTTAGAACGTACAAGAATGGAATCCTTGACCGGAGAAAATAGAGCAGCTTCTCAACATCAGAATGGAAGCCTCTACAGTAATAAACAAACAGTGACAGACTTATAGATAACGCATGTTTGTTAGGTAAATCTGTGCATCCCAACAACCTTAAAAGATGCTACATGTACAGGTGGTCTTGATCTTGACTGGGTAGTTATTGTACCAGGAGAACACATCATGAATGATCCCCTACTAAGGGATAGGGACTCCAAAAAATAATAAATCTGAGGAAAATAATATATCCAAATGTCACACTAGCTTCTGCCAGTTTTGAGCCTCTTAAAGGCTTGATCAGACTCCTCCCTGGTGCTTACAAGTCTAGAATGTGCCATTGCTTGATTTCTAGCCGGAACATCATCATTCTGAGGCAAAAGGAATTAGGTCTTAGTTCGATCGTTCTATGTGATGAAAATTCAGTCTAAAGGTAGCAGCTCTATAACAATAATATTGTCAATAGAAAGAACTCTCGAATATTACAAGAATGCCTGGAAGTACCTTAACAATGGGCGTTGAGGAATCAAGTCTACTATTTGCTTGCTTCCCGAGATCAATTTGCACTGAAATACTAGCTTTTGACAAATCCACTCCAGAGGTCTGCAGTGCTTGTGTCAGAGTATTCAACAACCTGTTCATTAGTTATGTATATTTTTGTCATTCACAAAATCCTGATTCATTTCATTAACCAGAGAATTAACTGATTGTAAAATCTAATAGTTGGATCAGTGAACTAAAGCAGCTGCTAATAGTCCCAATACAGTAACAAGCATAAAACTCAGTCAGATATGGTTAGTTTAACATTATCCGGGCATGAAACAAGCTTTGATAATCAATAAGAGAAGGTGCAACCAAAGTCTAGATCCCATGCAAATATTGTGACACCGCCTAAAAAAAATAGACTTTCAAGAGGAAAACTATGAAATGGGAATAATGTCCGGCTTCTAGAGGTGGTTGAATGGGAGAAAATTGAGAGAATTACAACAGTAGGGGGACATTTAGGATCATAAACATGTGTATGTATTGTAGATATAATCTACACTTCTTCAGAACCTTTTTTAAGCATTGAAATGAAGCAGAAATTCATTGGTTGCCTGAAAGATTGTATAAACCAAATGACCTGAGTAACACCAATACTCACCCTTCAGAATACACACTTGAGATGCTAATTGTACCACTATCAATAGCAAGATCTTGTTGTTTCAGCTTATCACTTGCAAGAGTGCAGTCAGTCATGCGTGAGCTGCCCTGCCATAATTGGGACAATGACTGAGCTGCTATGTTCTCTGTGTCAGGTGCCAGTCTTGGTGGAAGTGGAGCACTGCTGCTTCTACCAGGAGGAAAGTTTGGCTGCAGCAGCAGGGGCACTTCCTTATTTTCTGCTCCAGAGTTATAATCCATAGCTTTGAAAGTAGTAGCAGTGCTCATGTCCGACTCTACAGGATTCTGCCCACTCCTGGGAATGGCAGGGGAGTCGATGATGATGTTCTCATCAAACTTTACAGGAAAGGATAGCACTGGACCAGACACACCATTTGTTGTTAGCACTGTACCAGACACCCCATTTGTGCCTCGAAATTGGTCAGCAAATCCTTCAGCGGGCTTGTTACTGTTACCCTGTTTCAAACAAAGGAGAAATAGTCATCGATCGACCAAAGGAGGCGATATGCATTCTGTATATAATCCTATAACAGGAATCAGACTAGAATGCATTTTGTTCCCATTAAGCTATACTTATCATGTATCCAGTAGACACTAAGTCTCATAATGGATAACCCTGCATATGCACACCTTCACATGCGCGTAAATGCACACAACTTAAGAGTTCTTTTTTCCTTCTAAATATAAGGGGTAGGGCAAACAATCCCGTTTTCTGCTCCAAAACAATAACAAAACATATACTTTCTTGGGTGAAGTTCTTTGTGTCCCCTTGACATGGCATACAAATAACAACAACTATTGCATAGATCATTTTGCATTCATTTTTGCAAAATTCATACAACCTTCTCCTTCTCTTTAGAATCGGAAGGTGAGAGAACATGCAAAAGACATTCAGGGCGTTACCCATGGCATCAACTTTGGTGGCTCATGGTTCCATCCTGGGTATGAGCCCTCATATTTGTGCACTTTCTCTTGTAAAAACTGAATGTACTCAATAACCTGTATGAATATTAGATATCCTGTGAGTAATCTTCAATTTTAAAAGTGAACTTAATTCAAAGGAGGGAAGCAATTTATAACTTAGAATGAATCCATGTACCTCTAGTAAAAATGATGCCTTGTCTCTCTTTTGATCACTGTTGGGAATGAGCGCTCTCAACTTTTGGAATCTACATAAATGGTTCCAAGCTTCAATTTGGGCACTTTATAATGTATTTACTCATTCAAAAGCTTCATGTAGTTTTCTTTATAAAATGGAGAAAAGAAAAAAAAAAGTTATTTTCAGTGTTTGCACTTTTAATTCCAACTGAAGGCATAACTGCATAATGATGGGGGACAGAAAGACGCAAGGAAAACTCGAATTGCATATGCAGTAAAAGAAATTTCAAATTTCATGTGCTTACATGATAATGAGAACTTTGTTTTCATGACAGGTTGAACTGCCAATGGAGTTATTCTAGCTGATAACTTTGCATTGATAGCTGGGATACTACTACTACTGCCATCAGGCCGTTAAGTTAAGAAGCAATGAAGTCCAAAAGCAAACAAACCTTTATTTTGTAAAACATAACATATGTCCCTCTATTTTGTGCAGGAATTTCAGTTATAAGACAAACTCCAAGTTGATGAATCAGAGAAACGTAATGTATCATCACATAAAAGGATAGGATTTGAGTAATCTTTCATTATTTACCTTGAAGCCAAATGCTGGCAGGCACTATCTGATTATTTGCTTTTTCAATACGAACATACATTACACTATAAAATTTATGGAAAAGGTCAAAACAATAAATTGTGACAACAGGTTTATTCTTCTGACAGTGCTAAATGCCTCCTCAGATAACCTTAAATCACCAAAGGACTTCCTCTAGTATCATCTTTTATTGATAAAACACATAATATCTGGCTAAGTACTAAAGCAGTAAAGTAATAAAGTCAAAACAAAGACTAATTTAAAATTTCATAAAACATGTACTGTTATCTACACAAGTGGAAGAAATTGTCACAACATAGGAGGCATTAATGTGGCTTAGCCTTTTGAACTTATTTTTGACACTCCAGTAGTTGAATGAGCCCTTTGTCTTGGCTCTAGCTGTAGAGCAACACAGAAAATACTTTATCATGGATTCACTGAATGGTTTCTGGCTAATTCTTACACAGTGACAAATGATATGCTCATTAGAAATATCCATCAATGTTCAAAAGCTTTAAAGGAGACAAAACAATCAGCGGTGAGGACTATAATTAGACTCAGAACAAGCTATGAGATTGCAAAGGACAGCAAACAAAATCAGAAGAAATGACAGCAGAACAGACTAGACAGAAGGTATCTATAAACTATATGATTTGGGACAGAAACCCAAATGATTTGATAAAGAAAGTACATATTTATTATCATTTTGTTGTTTTGGTTGCTTGAACATGCCTGTCATTGATTTTGCTTCTTCTCCGCTGCTCTGTCGCAGAGTGTTTCGACCGTGGAGTGTTGGCCCTCTGATCATTGCATTTTCCCTCAATTTTAACCGTCAAGTTACCTATCAATTTCCTTATATTTTAGTTCCCAGGAGATTATTATAGTGGAAGTAAGGACAAATATTATGCATATAAAGTTACAAAAATTATGTTAGGACAAATATTATGTACATAAAGTTACTTTTTTGGTGGGAGGAGTCGTTCTTGATATTAAAATCATCATCGTCATCATCGTCCTCCTCTTCTTGGCCACCTTTAGCAGAATTTATCAACTGCATGAAACTCTGATTCTTCTGAGCTGATGGTGGCCTGTGAAAATATGACAGAGTTAAATTTGACAATACAATGATTAGAGTGTAGCTAGACTATGCAGCTGTGAAAGGAATTGAGAGTCAAAGTGACTGACTGAGAGGAAGACAGAGAGCTGAACATGTTGCTATGATGGCTGTGGTTGGAAAATGATTGTGATGACCGCTCTGATGATGTCCATTGCCCTCCTCCTATCTTCATCCCCATATCTGCCAAGCAGGTATCAACAGGTAAATTTGCAGTTGGTGATGGATACTTTAGCTTGGTTGTTGATTATATTACTCATCTGTGTAAGATGATTAAGTAGATGGGAGTTTTGGCAGGTAAATCACTGGTGATGGGATCATGGGACTTCACTACTAAATTTGAATTCTGCTGCACTTTCATCTTAAACCATGGCATTACTGCTACTATGTAATGTGCAATATTTATTCTTTACTTCTAACTTCAGTTTATTTTGTTGTACTTGTAGTACATCTTAAACTATGGTGTAAATTCTAGTACACCGCCACAAGTAATTGAGCAAATGAACATAACACAAGTTGAACGTGAAGGGAAGACCCCAGACTAATGCATTGAAATTTTCAGGAAACAGTGATACCATTTAACAATGGGGAAGAAAATACATTTGAATATGAAGAAAGCCAAGTCATATCTATACCTATCATGCACCTTTGAAAAAAGCTACTTTGCTTATCAGCTATTAATGTTACTGAATCATTAATTCCAGTCTAGTTATTGATCTGAATGAAACAATGCCAAACCATCTTCAAACTTGCAATGGTGGATTATAGGATTCACATGATGAGGAAAGGAAAATCGCACGTCTCTATTGGAGCACAAGCATGGATATTCAACATGTCAAAGTTACCATATGAATGCTTCAAAGCAAAAACTACAATTGTACCTCTCATAACATGTCTACCGTCACTATCCATATTCTCCTTCCCTGTCTTTCCCTTCTTTGCCACAGATTCTTCCCACAGAGTGAAACCACTTCCCGTGTAAGAACTGCTGTTTGAGTTTTCCTCATTTCTATCAGTACTAATTTCCTGAGCTGCCCCCTCTGGTTTCGGAACCCTTTGGCTGATATATGAAATGTGGCTGATTGTGTAAGTCCCGATACCTCCTGGGAGAAAGTGCTCCACTGATGGAGGAGCGGGTGGCGGAGGCTTTTCAACGGTTGTTACTTTAACTTTGTTGTCTTCCTTGGAAGTCCTTGTCCTTCCTTCTTCTAGTGGCTGCAAGAAGTCATGCGTCTTAAGGTGGCCACCTGTTTATACAGGGAAAGATGAGCATGGAGGGAAAAAAGATTAGGAAAAAGAAACCAAAAATAGAACGAGTCATTTTAATATTTGCTAATTTATGATTCAGCAACAATTGTAAAATAGCCAGGTTGAAAGGAACTAAACAAATAAAAAATATATTTTTCATTTTCTCCTTCTGTAAGTACCACCTACCAAGAAACTGAAATCTGGAACCACTGATGAGTTTTCAGCAAAATCAGATCTAAAGATAGATCCAAAGATTTAATTCCAAGAAATTCTTACCATTGTAAATTTAGAAGTTACAACCCTTGCACTTATAATTTACCTAAAAAAATTTTATGGACAACTAAAAAATTTATGAGTGGGACAACTTTGACATTTTTTTTTTAATTTACATCAGCATACAGGCATTCTAATAAAATAATTAACAGTTAAAAACATCCATCTATAACAGACAAAAATAATACGAGAAAAAGGTGAAGGACAGCCCGAACTCAAGGGGGCATGAGTGTTCCTCTACACATAATAGTAGCAAAGTAGTCCTAAGGAGCAGTGATCAAGATCAAAGGGCTTTCCTGATCAAGACCGAAGGGACAAAAAAGAAAAAAATAAATAAAGAAAAGAAATAAAGAAGTCTTCTTGGGGGCCGTGTGATTCCTAACTTAAGCACTAGCTGGAAGAAAAAGTGACTGCAGAGGGTCCATAATCCATCGTGGGAAAATGTTTGGTACAAACGACAAGAACAGAGACCTCCTCGAACAACTTGTCAAGCAAACATTATCGCCTGGGTCTTTGCCAATCTACGGAATGACATTTGTATATTTGAATACCATGGACCTGTATATGGCCTGATTAGGGTTTCCTTCAATCTTTTATGCCTCTACCTCGTTTTGGGTCCCTCCAGAAAGTCATGCTCACGGCGGAAGACCAGAATTGGTGATCTAAATGACGTAATAGTATCAAAATTCACATGCAATAGATAAAGGGGATCTAAAATTATTTAATTGATGTATGTGTCTACCATACCATTTGAGCCATCAAATTTAAACTTAAAATTCGGTATGGTGTTAAACCGGAAATTTGGTTTTCCCATACCGAATAATCCAATCTGGCAATTGCCTAGTCTCAACCCCTTCCTTTTTGGATTCGGCAATGTCAGCCTATCCAAGGCATGCCCCACCCAAACACATGGCCCAGATCCATATACGATTCAACATGGGGTCAAGAGTACCTTAACTACACCACTCGTGGGTATGGATATTTCCTCTCCACTCTCCAAATAAATGCCAAAACATAATTACCCAGAAATCATTATTGCACACACATGCACAACAAAACAAAGAGACCCATGGATTAAATTCTCAAAAAATGACTTTTGGCTGGATCTGTTCTGTACAAACAGTAAAAAAACAACTGTTTCAATTTGGCATTATTGTTTTGATTCATGTAAATGAACTTTTTACCTTGCGCAGGTCTTGGATCTTGTTGAACAGGTGAATACAGTGAAAGAAAGTCATGCGTAGCTTTCTTACCTGCATGAAACAGTAAAACACAGCTCAAATCTTTTTTTTTTTTTTTTGGCGATTACGAGAAAATATTAGGATACTGAATAAAGTATCATTGATTTTAAATAAATGGGAAAATTCAACCGTTATGCTTATAATTTGAGCGCTAAATTTACCTTCGGTTCCAATTGGACGGGGTTGAGGCAGCTCCATTCTCAGATAATCTTTCGGCGTTAATTTCTTGTAATTCAACTGAATTCTGCAGTTTGCACTTGGAAAACACAGAATTACCCTCTACAAGGTCAAATTTCCGGAACTTTCAAACTCCCAGCGAAATTCTCCAACTGCTTCTCAGACCGATCCGCACCAAGTAGTCGGAGAAGAACCTCGTAAGAGAACTTTGCATGCGCCTCCCTTGAAGATCGGAGGCGCACTCACTTTCTCTATCACGAAAAACAGAATTCCCAGCGAATAGAAAATTTTTCCTGACTGTTTCCCGAGAAAATTAACTCCACAGATGTCCCCTCAGATACTTTATGTACTGACAATTCATTTAATTGAATAATCTCCTTCGCTGCCAAGAACTATCAACTACGAACGATCAACTCTGCCATCAAAATTTTATCAAACTCTTCATCATACAGATGAAGTGTATAATTCTTTTATAGATAAGCAAGAAAAGATAAGATCCAGAAGATACATACCTACGATCTGAATTACGACCAAAGTTTGCGTAATTAAGCTCAATTTCCTCCGAGGTAAAGGAAACTGAACTCCAATTCCCAAGCATAATGAAGAAGTGATCCAAACAATGCCTTTTGAAGATAATTAGTAGGCCCTGTGGGATCGACCGGTTTTTATCAAATGCCACAGAATTCCCAAGAAAAAATTTCTCTCTCTCTCTCTCTCTCTCTCTCTCTTTGAGTACACACACAGATATATGTATATAAGTGATCAGTGCGGCGAAAGATGGGATTGCGGATTGAAGAATACTCTCTCTCTCTCTCTCTTCTCTGTGCGTGGTTGTGTGAGCTATGTTGAGAGAGGTTTTATATACAGTCTTCGTTTTCGTTTTTCCGAATTTTCTTTTTACTTCTGACTCCGTTAGGTGAAACGCAGTTCGGCTAACGACGTTGCTTCGGCAGAGCTAACGACGTTTAGGTTAACCGTAACGGCGTTCGGCCACGTTGTTGGTGGCCGTTTACTGGGTTGGACATAGCAACAATTTTATTTTATTAAAAATGTAATAGTTTATGTTTTTGGCGATCCCGAGTAATAGTATTAATCTACTCAGCTCTATCTTTTGGGAGATTGAGCTTCGATGTTCACTTGTATTCAAATTACTCTTTAACCCTCGCGATACAGTCTAAACTTTCAGTGTCTATTAAATAATATTTTTTTTTCTCTCTTTTTAATTATATGATTTGAAATTAATTTTTAACTATTATTTTTATCAAGAATTGATAAAATCTTCTCAAAATACATAATTTAAAAAAATATATATCAATATGAATAATACTTTAAATAAAAATTATATTGAGCAACAAATTAATCACTCATCTATTATTGTATTAAAAAAAATTGAAGAGAATGGGTAACAGGAATATCCGAATCCAAGATTAACTAGTCAAATCGAAATAACATTTTTCTCTCCGAATTTTGTGCTTTGTATTCTGAAAATGTTGTAGTGGCGGTGTACTTTACCCATCTGTAATGCACGTGCATGGTGGACTCTGTCGGCTGTAGCTATTCCAGGCCATGCGTGCTCTATGACTATAAGAAGTTGGAGCTACTATCTTCTGCTGGCGAGCTCATGGAGTCAATGGGTCGTCACGTGAGGGGGGTAAACTAAAGGGTTGGAGTTGACATAAAAAGGTTAAAAAAAATTAAGGATAATAATCAACCGAATAACGATGATTAGTGCACAGACCCCCATTAACTGTCCTGCATTAAACTTTCTCAAGAGAGAGACACCAATCCAGAGGATGTTGGTGGTAAAGGAAGAAAACTCACGTGCTGCATCCCCCTCATCTCGTCTGTAGTTCGTAATGGGCTTTTAAGCCCCACCGGGAAACGCGGGGCCACCCTAAAACCAACCCTCCCATGTGCCCCAAGATTCCCCCCACATATCTCTCTCTCTCTCTCTCTCTTCTCACTCACATATAGAAAATATTCAATTTAAAGATTATATTGCATCATTACTATCACATAATATTACTAACTAATTATATATAAATATATAAGACTATTAGATCCGACTAAATTCTATAATCAGCAATCGAACTTCTTTGAGCAAATTTTGTTAAGTAAAAAATTGAGAGTCAAATTTTTTTTTTTAAAAAAGTCAGACTTATAAAAACTCCTTAAAATTGTTTAAAGTGTTTTTCAAAAATTTGAAAAAGTTAAAAAAAATTATTTGGGGTGATTTTATTCGTTGTTTGGCTTTATTTTGTCAAAACAAAAAAATAATTATACAGCAGCTTTTTAGACCTAAAAAGACTTAGTTGGGTTAATTTTATAAACTTTTTTTTCCAATTTTTTGAAGTTTTGTTGTAAGTCCCGCATAAGTTTTTAGTTTAATATATTCATAAAATATTATTATTAACACAAAAAAATTTGAATTTCATAATTTAGAAAACAATTATGCATAATTTATAAATACATGTAACTATTTTTTTTATTTTAACACGAAAAAACTAAAAGAGCTAGAAAGTCACTCATAACAGACTTTTTCAATTTTTAAAAAAACTCTCCAAACAATTTTGGCAGTTTTGCAAAGCTTTTCAAGTCGTAGTTTTTTACTTAAAATAGTCAGCTTCAAACATGTTCAATAGTTTGTAAAATATGAATTTTAATTTTTTTTTTACGTCATTAATAATATTTTATGAATATAATCAATTAAAAAATTACATGGGACCCATGACAAAATTCCAAAAAAAAAATATTCAGTTTCTTGAATTACCCTAAATAAATTTTTTTTGGTCCAAAAAACTATTGTATAAACTAATAAAAAAGCCAAGGCCCAAACGGATCTAACTTATTTTACTCTAAAATTCTTAAAAACTATTTATTTAAGTTAACTCTAAACAAGTCCAATAACTTCTACATTCAATAACTATGTGAGATAAGAAACTTCACTTGTTTATTTATTTATTTGTTATTAGTCAGAACACCACACGATGATAATAATGTATTTGTGACCATCATATTGAATATTTAATCCAATCTTAGAGACAAACATAAACACCAACACGAAATTATCATATTATCATGGGAAAACGATTACAGTATCTCGCCTGATAGTATATCAAAAGTTATAATATTTAAATATTAAGTTATAACTTTTGAGAATATTAGTTACAATTTATAAAGTTATAATCGATCATTATATAGTATGATCAATCACAAAAAAAATATATAATTTTTTAAAAATCCAATTACACATTTTAAAGATTAAGGTATTATTGATTGATGAAACTTATGATTGATCATGAGATACTGTAATCGATCATGAGTATAGTTTGACCGCCAAAATTCAAAGTAATAATTTTTTATTTGTTCCAAAAATGTTTGGAAAATATTATTTGTGCCTAATCTAATGATCTAATTTAATGTAATCATTGAATTAATAATGAATTTCATCAAACATTAAAACTTACCACTAATTCAAAGATCCCATTGAAGTAAGTCCTTGATTAAGTACCCAAATTAAATCCCTATAACATTTTTCAGTCAAGATACAAATGAAAAAAATATTACCGTTTGGATGAAAATTATGTCCTAATGAAAGAGAAGGCTTTATGGATTATTTCAAGGGCACACGTTTAAGTTTCCTATACATAACTATCCAAAGAGTAATGTTATAGGTAACTAAAAAACTAATTTAATTTGATAATGTGATATTGATATGGTTCAATAATATTATTGTATTTATAATTTTTAGACTTCTTTAATAGGACTTTATCACTTGAAACACTAGTATGTCAATAAATTAGATTAAATTTTAATATTCTTATAATATTACTGTTTCACAAATAGTAAATTATGTTCAAGCTTGAGGATTATCTAGGTTGTGTAATTTTTATACTATAGCACCAAGGTATAGCCACATTATTTTTAGGGTTAATAGTATTTTTTATTCCTAAAATATTTTCATTTTTTTTAGTTTGATTTTCATTTTATTAATTTTATCATTTTGATCTCTAAAGTTTTAATTTGTGTTTCTTTGATCCCTAATTAGATATTTTGTTAAATTTTTTTACAAAAGTAACCAGATGTCATTCTTTCAAGTGGTATCACATAACTAATGTGTAATTATTCTATGAAAAATGTAACGATCTATCTGTATATAGACCATTTAAACTCAATTTTAAATACATTAGGGGTCAAATGGGCAAAATTCATATTTTAGGACCGAAATGACAAAACATACATATTTTAAGGACCAAAAATTTTGTTAACCTTTATCTTTAGGGAGAATTACATTCAGACCCCTGAAAATTTGTCACTTAATCACTCAAACCTCCTAATATTTGAAATATTACTTACAAACCCCTTGAGGTTTGTACGCGCATAACACTTAGACCCCTATTATAAATATATCTATTAATAAATTACACTTAGAACCCCTAAAATTTTTTGTATCCATTAAAGTTTGATTCCTTATTTAATTTTTTAGTTTTGTTCTAATAGACAGTTTAAATATATACTATATTTTTTTAAAAAAAATAAATTTTTAATTTTAATTTTATTTCAATAAATGACATAATAGAACATAAATTTTAAATGTAAAATTCATGTTCTATTATAATTGACTTAGACATATTGTTTGATTTTTTAGTTTTATTCCAATAGATAGTATAATTATATACTAATTATGATTTTTTTTAAAAAAAAATTAAATTTTTATTTTTAATTTTATTTCAATAAATGATACAATAGAATATGAATTTTGATTGTAAAATTTAAAATATTTGATTGAAGTATTTTTTTGTCTAAATATAATATTTTAAACTTAAAAGACCTAAATATTATATATCCATAAATTTTAGAAGAGTCCAAATATAATTTATTAATTGATATATTTACAATAAAAATCTAATTGTTACGTGCGTTAATGTAATCGCCCACCGGAGATACTTATTTTAATTTGCCATGGTCAATAGGGTTGAGTTACTTGTTGCAGTCCTCAAGGTACAGTTAGGGTATATTTTGGATTTTTAATGTATTTTTAGTAGGTAAGTACTATATCAAGAATTCCTATATGTTTTACCAGAATTAATTAAGTTTACAATAATGACCAAGATTGCGGTTGTTATTGGCGGACCCACGTTGGGGCTAGGTCTAGGGTGGGCAGCTGTCCCTTTACTTTTGGATCACCTTTGATGGGGATCTCACAATGTTATTCATTGTACTACATTTACCCCTTTTCCCCATAAATTTTTTAGAAGTTTCATAACGGTACCAGTCTTTTTATCCCCCCTCAATAAATTAGTGTCCACTAATCTCTTAAAATAAATATTTTTATTTTTGAATTAAGTAAATTAGATGTAATATCGTGATCTACTTGTATACATAGAAAATAAAAATACAATAATTTTCTTCTATCTAATACAATGCTTCATATTTTTAAAATGTGTGGTTGTCATTTTCTGTTTTTCGATTTGCTTGTAATCTATATCCAATAAAACACAATTAGATACAAAAGGTACATGTTATAATCAAAAACATTTTATCCTAGTTTAAATATGCAAGTTATCAATAAGATCGAGAACGATCTCAGTTACATTTTGCAATTATATAAAGAATGATTTTACTATGGACTGTATGATTGTGCGCATTAGTAAAAAATTAGTCAGAAAACTAACTTATAATTAATCAATTACAAAAAATCATCGGAATTTTAAAAAAATGTTGTCTT